AAAAAAAAAAAAAAAAAAAAAAAAAAAAAAAAAAAAAAAAAAAAAAAGGAGAAAAAAGAAAAAAAAAAAAAAAAGGGGGGGGAACCCTATATTTTTATAAACAATCCTAGATCTTAAAAAATATCGAATGTTTCTGTTAGCATTTCATTCCTACTGTACCTGAATCTGGATGCCAAGGGTCTGTTGCAGAAGACATTGGTTGGATGGTTTGTGGATTTGCTCCGCAGTTGGATTCCACAAGTTCTCCTTCTGTGTAGATGCGAGAGGAGATATTGGTCTGTCTCAAGGCTGCCTTGAGTGGAGTAATCTGGTTGAACTGCACACGTGACAGGCAGCCAGAAAATCCTGGCGTATTATATTTATGGATCTCTGGATCAATCTTCCCAAGTTCTAAAAAAAAAAAAAAAAAAGACAGAAATGGGTTTGTAACAATTTGCCTAGCAAAGAAGCTTTACTAGCACTAGGGTCTTGCAACACATAATGTTCATGAATGCAATCAAAACACACACTTTTATCTCTTGGAATTTACCTTACACATAAGGCCAAGAATGAATCATTCTTCAGTCTTGCTTTTCTTTTGATAGCAAGCCTGCCATTTTTTCTTTTTAAAAATAACATATATGTATTAAAATGCAGATAGATTTATCCTCTAGCAAATGAAATCAATACAAAACATAAAAATAATTATTAAAAACATGAAAACAAATAAGGTTAAGTGTAGGTAAAATACTTTAAATATTAATGAATTGGAACCATCACTAACTCTCCAGATTTGCTGAAATTTATAAAAGTGATTACCCCCCAATTCCTGCCACTCAAATACTCTCCATAGGTAGAAGAACACATGCATTTAGGGCAAGAATGGCATTTTCCTACTTTCCTCACATATTTAGAATGTAATGTAATACTCGTTCCTCAGGAAAGAGAGTTGTAAATTATACATATTAAAAAAACAGTCCAAAAACTGTTGCCTCATTCTTATTTTTAAAATGTCTGGAAAATAGATACTTGAAAAGGACAACTTCACTCTTTAAGTGAGTCAGCTGATGGGACTGCTTTTACTACAATGACTGATCATGCATAGAAGACTTAAAATATGCAACTAGCTATATTTACTAGTTTGCTCAGGCCCCAGAAGCATCATTAGGCAGTGGCAATTCCAATTTCATGTTGCAAAAGCACGGATGAGAGACTATATGGATGATAATTAGAGAACTGGACAAAACAGCTAGACTCCTAAAGTTGATATCTTTTTCTCATTTACATCCAGTGATGAATGTGCTAATGGGATTTTCTCGTTTAAAATAGCAAACTTTCAAAGAGAGGAAAAACAATCCACCAGAATAAATTCATTCTTACTTAAAACCAAGGACAAAAAACACAATCCAAAGACTCTTCCTCATAGTTGAATTAAAGTACTATCCACCAGATCCTGAGCCAGCAGAAATCTAACAGCGTAACATTTGCTCTGTGATGCCTATCCTGTTACAGTCCTGACAAGATTCTGCCCAATGGATTCAGACTGGCAGAGAGTGCTGTTAAGGATCCCCACCTATCAGAAATGTGACAAGAAAGGGCTCAATGACAGACTTTCCTTTGAGGTGGTCTGCCTCCTGAAGAGAGGATGGTCCTCACGGTCACGGCCTTGGGGAAGCTGGTAACCATCTTGGTCTTGGGGACTGTTTGTGCACATATTTGTTTTGTCATTATTATGTCAAATCAAATCAAACCTTTATTATGGCCTTTAGACCAGAAAGTATAACAGTAAAATACTGTCAGGCCTAGCCCAAGGAACTCCAGGAGACAATGCCAATTCAGTCCAACTATGTCTATTAGCTACAACCTCTAGCAAGAATCTTCCCAGACTAAAACCCCAGTTCCCAAAGTCATCCAGCCACAACAGTGTGAATTCCTCAGGGAGGTGCCAGTCTCAT